GCAAATGGCAGAATGGTTCCAGAGAAGAACTTAGGGTCTAACAGGAGCCCCTGGCTGCTGAGTGCGGCACAGAGTTGGGGAGGGGACTAAGGATGGAAGCAGGGAGCTCCGAGAGGGGGTGACTGCGGTGTGGTCCAGGGCGTAGAGGGATCAGACCAGGGTGGTGGCCTGGAGGCACTGAAGATGGTTGGATTCTAGATAGATTTTGAAGATGGAGTCCACATGATGTGATGACAGGGTGGGTATGGGCAGAAGCCCCTGGGCAGCACAAACCGTTAAGCATTCAGCTACCAACCAAAAGGTTGGCGGTTCGAACCTCCCCAGAGGCCCCTCAGAAGAAAGGGCTGGTGATCTGCTTCTGAGAAGTCACAACCATGGAACACTATGGAGCAGTTCTCCTCTAACACAGGGTCACCACGAGTCAGAGTGGACTTGGCAGCAAGTGGAAGTTAAACATGGGAATAAAAGAAAGAGGAATCCCAGTTGTCCTCAACTCACATCACAGGTGCCGTGAGGGTTTCTGCATTCCTAGAGCAGAGGGAGTGCTCAATCCCCAGCCCCTCAGGGTTTACAAGAGGCTTCCACCTCCTCACCTGTCTGTCTCTCCCAGGACCGTGGGCCCCCTGCCTCCCTCTGCTGTGGCCCGAGGCCGCCAGCTCCTGATCCACACTGTGGACGAGTCCATCAACACGACTCTCATCTGCTATGTCATGAACACTGTGGGGACTGGCCAGGCCAAGCTGACTGTCGTGGTCAGAGGTGAGGAGCTCCCAGGGTGGGGAGAACAGGGGGACCAAAACAGCAGGTGGCCACAGGATTGCCTTTGAGGGAGGGGTTTGGAGGTGGGCCCCAGCTAAGAGAATCCTCCAGCCAGAAGAAAGCTCTCTGACCCCCATCCTTCCCCTCATTCCCTCATGAAAGGCCCAACAGGGACAGCTACATTGTCCTGTTAACATCTGTACCATCAGCCCCTGGGCACACACACATCCCCTAACCCAAGCCGGGGTAGTTAGGGGACTCAAAAAGGTCTTTGCAATGGTATTAGGCAGAACTCTATCAACTGCAATTGATAGAAGCACCACTCAAAGTAGTCCAGATCTAAAAGGGACTTTATTGAAAATGACACCTTCAGGTAGGGTTAGATCCAGGTGCTCCAACTGTGCAACCCAGGAACTTTTGTTTGCATATCTTGTCTCCTTTCTCTCTGCTGGCTTTATCCTCAGCCAGACTTTCACCCTTGGAGAGGCAGGATGGCAACTACAGGCTCACATCCTACCAGCTTAGATTTTCCAAGGAAAGAATACACTGCTTTCAGTAGCACTCGGCAGAGGCCCATGGCTGACTCTCATTGACCTAACTTAGGTCACAGTCCACCTATGAGCCAGTCACTGCAGCCAGGGAGAATGGAATGCTCTGATTGGCCAGGACTGGGCCCAAGCCCTATCCTACCAGCCAGAGGGTGGGTCAAGTCCACCCAAACCATATAAAGTAAGGGAGGCCTGAGTGGTAGCTTGCAAAGAAATATGGGTTCCCATTACAAGAATCGGGTAAAATTTTCCTGGGAAGCTGAAAACCCAAAAAGCCTTCTTACCTAGATACCCGCTTCCTCCTCCTCTTCCAGACAGGCCTGGGGTGCTGTCAGACGGAGTCAAAATCATCATCTCGGTTGTGATCGTGGCTGTGGTGGCCGTGCTGGGGTTCATATGTGTCACGGTTTACAGAAGCAAGTGTGAGTCTCCTCATTGGAACATCCCCGTTGGTCTGCTCTGAATGAGCATCCTCACAGCCACCATAAACACGCTGCCGTTCAGTCTGCTCCAAGTCATGGCTGCTACCCCTGCATGTCCGAGTACAACTGTGCTCCACAGGGTCTCCAAGAGCTAACTTTTCAGAAGTAGATTGCCAAGCCCGACTGAGGTGCCTCTGGGTGGACTCGAACCGCCAACCTTTCAGTTACCAGCCAAGCGTGGGAACTGTTTTCAGCACACAGGGCCTCCTCAGCCACCATAATTGGTGTCTTAGTTTCCTAACGCTGCTATAACATGAAAATCGCATTCCATTCTTCAAAAAGAATGGAAGTGTGTTGTTTTGGTAGCTAGAAGTCCACCTCAGGGCTTTGGCCACGTTGATTCCGTCCCTGTTGGTAGCTCTGGGCGTTCCTGGGTCCCTTGTCTTGTCGCTGATCCTCCCACAGCGTCTCTCTGCCCCTGTGTGTGTCTCTGTGTCCACTGTGCCCTTCTGAGAACTCAGGAGTGATTCGATTTAGAACTCACTCTGCTTGGGTAAGGAGCTCTGGTAGCATAGTGCCTAAGGCATTTGACTGCTAACCAGAAGGCTGGCGGTTCAAACCCACCAGCCACTCCTCGGAAGGAAGGTTGGGCAATCTACTTCTGTAGTGATACTGTCTCGGAAACCCATGGAGGGGTTGCTATGAGTCGGGTCCGACTCGACGGCATATAACAGCAACAACAACATGCTTGGGTATTGCTTGGTAAAGTAGAGGGTGAGTGAAAAAGGGGAAGTCCGTCTACGAGATGGATCGACACCATGTGGTTAGGTGCCATTGAATTGGTTCTGACTCATAGTGACCCTGTGTCTAACAGCAGGAACCACTGCCTGGTCCCGCACCATCCTCACGGTCATGCTGTGTTTGAGCCCGTTGTCGCAGCCACTGTGTCAATCCATGTTGTTGAGGGTCTTCCTCTTTTTCACGGACCCTTTATTTCACCAAGCGTGATGTCTGTCCTGGTCCCCTAGTGCTGCTCTGACAAGAATATACCGCAAATGGGATGGCTCAGCAAACAGGAGTTTATTCTCTTACAGTTTAGAGGATTTAAGTCTGAATTCAAAGTGCCAGGCTCTAGGGGCTGGGTGAAAGCCCCTCGACCTTGAGCTTCAGCTCTGCCTCTTGCTCCCAGCCCACTGGAGCTAGAGGCATCTCTTCACTGAGGCAGCTACTGGCTGCTGAGGCTGACAAGCCCAAGATCAACAAGTGAAAAGACACAGTCCTGATACTACCAAACCACACAGCAGGCCATTAATTCAAATCCATTGTAAGTCCCAAGGTTGCCAGAGCATGGCAGGTGCTGAACAATGACATGGCTACATGCGGGTTCAAGCATGCCATAAGCTAGAGACCGTTCCCAAAGCTGCTGCTTATATACGGGAAGCAGACCACATACCCTATGGCAGCTACTCAGCTGCTCACAGTAGATTCCACCATGGAGTTGATTGCCAGTCTCATCATGAGGAATAACTACATCCAGCTAGCTGCCCAACCACTCAACCAGGCCCAGCCAAGTTGACACACAAACTTAACCACCACAATGTCATTCTCCAGGGACTGGTCCTTCCTGCTGACATGTCCAAAGTACATGAGACCAAGTGTCACCATGCTTGCCTCTAAGGCGCATTCTGGCTGTACTTGTTCCAAGACATTCATTCTTCTGACAGTTCATGGTATATTCAGTACTCCTTGCCAACACCGTAATTCAAAGGCATCAATTCTTCTTCAGGCTTCCTTATTCATTGTCCAGCTCTCACATGCATATGAGGCGACTGAAAATACCATGACTTGGGTCAGGCACACCTTCGTCCTCAAAGTGATGCCTTTGCTTTTTAACTCTTTAAGGAGGCTCCTTGCAGCAGATCTGCCCGGTGCTGCACACGAACTAGGATTATCATTCCCACTGTCTCACCACCACCGCCATCACCATTATCATTATTAATAATATCAGCTCCATGAGAGCAGGGAGTTCAACAGCCATAGCCCAGCCCCAAGAACATGCATGGCCACAAAGCAGACATTTTGTGTTTGCTAGATCAACAAATAATTGAATAAGTCACTCTTTGAATGTGGAGGAAACTGAGGCACAGAGAAGTTAAGTCCATTGTCCAGGGTCACACAGCTCCTGAAGAGCAGAGCTAGTATTTGAACGTGGTCAGTGTCAGGTTCTGTTGTTGTTGTTGTTGTTACGTGCCGTCAAGTCGGACCCGACTCATAGCGACCCCTCCTTGGGTTTCCGAGGCAGTATCACTACGGAAGTAGATTGACCAACCTTCCTTCCCAGGAGTGGCTGGTGGATTTGAACTGCCAGCCTTCTGGTTAGCAGCCAAGTGCTTTAGGCATTATGCTATCAGAGCTCCTAGTGTCAGGTTCTAGAGCCTCAATAAATGCTTGACTCCTTAAAGAGCAAGTACCCAGCCCTATTTTACAAATTCCAAAGCAGTGAGTACAGCAGCACCTGTGTGGTAGCAGCAGAGGCAGGACTAGGAATTTTAGGGGCCTCGACACCTACCAGGTCCCTGGGTGACACAAATGGTGTGCACTCAACCACTAACCTAACGGTTGGCAGTTGAAACTCACTCAGCGGTGCTGTGAAAGAAAGTCTC